TTTGTGACTTAGGTTAAGTTATCCAATCTTTCCATTCCTCAGTTTTCTCATCTATAAATGGGACTGCTCATAATAGAATCAACCGTAAAGATGAAATGAAATGCTTCATGTTAAGAGGTTATCACAAAATAAAAGCACAAAAAATGTTAGATATATTTTTTCTTATTGCAATCAGACAGCCCACCTGGCTTTCTGAGCCAAGCTTGACTGAGACTTCTTATGCGTGATTATTAAAATTTCTTATGTGTATTAAGAGAAGTAAAGGGCTTGTCCCTGCCACACAGATTCAGCAAAATCAGTCCAGTCAATAAAAAATTATAAACAATTAAATATACTTGCAAATCAAAATTGCCAAGTAAAATTAATGTTCAGTCCAGTCAAGAATGTGCTAGATGTTGATAAATCACAGAATATTGTACCAAGAGTGGAAGTTAGAGACCTTGTAGTCCAACTGTCTCATTCTACAGACAAAACAAAAACAAACAAAAAACCCTGCAAGGCTTTCCCTGAGGGATTGTGGTTTTGGTCATCATATTCCGTGTGGATCGTATCTCCTTACTGAAAAGCGACAGAAATTATCTTCTGAATACTTTCATATCTGTAGAAAGCAACCTTGATTCAAACTCCCGTGTTACTGTTATGGGTTGAATTGTGTTCCCTTAAAAACATATGTTAAAGTCTTAATCCTTGTAATATGAATGTGGCATTATTTGGAAATAGGGTCTTTGCAGAAATATTCAAGTTGAGATGAGATCATTAGGGTGGACCATAGACCAATAGGACTGGTGTCCTCATAAGATGGTATGAAGTCAGAGGCACACAATGCAAAGGTCATGTGATGACAGAGGCTGAGATTAGAAGGATGCAGCTATCAGCCAAGGAAAGCCAAGGATTGGCAGCACCACCAGAAGCGAGAAAAAGGCAAAGACAGATTCTACCCAGAGTCCTAGAGGGAGCATGGACCTGCTGACACCTTGACTTCAGATGTCTAGCCTCCAGAATTGTAAGAAGACTGATGTTTGTGGTTATAAACCACCTTCCTGGTGGTGTCTTGATATGGCATCCCTAGAAAATGGATACCATACTCTTTATCCTTTCTCTCTTTTTCACAGATTTCTGTTTCCTCGTCTACCACTCAGTAGGCTTCTTGAGGGCAGAACATTGGACTTTGCTCATATTCATGTCTCTTGAACAGCCTCACAGGTCTTAGTCAGGGCTCAGTGAGCAGTTGTTGAATTGAAGTAATTACAGGCTTCCACAAAAATAATCTGGTTCATTATTTGTTATTATAAATTTCCTATAATTTGCCCTTCAGCTTTTGGCATTTCCATTGTGGAACTAGAAGAGGTGCCTCTTAGTTGCCAAGAGATGTTTGGATAGAACAAGGAAATAAACACTTATAGGGAAACACGAGAGCTCATTTTAATATTATTTTAAGAATAGCAACTGATATTCATGAAGAGTTTGATAAGTGTCAGGTTCTGCTCTACCTAGTCAGCAAATATTACCTCACTTAATCTCATCTGATTGTTAGACTCAGCTTATTGATGAAAAAACACAAAACAAAACACCCCAAACCTGATACTTAGAAGGTGTTAAACAGTAGAGTTGAGAGTAAAATTTGGATAGCATGATCAGAAACTTAGCTCTTAACCGTGAAACTGTTGTGGAATGCAGACACCGATTTTCCTTTTTCTAGATCTGAAAAGCACTCAGCTTTGTGTTTACAAATGCTAATCCATTTAGATTGCTCTCCATATAGCTGTGTGTTCACGAGAGTGTTGAAAATATATTTATTCTGTAGTATGTTTGTTACTTCCTTATATATCTGATCAATTTGCTCATACATATTTAGAGCTTAAGAGGCAGTTTTCCTAAGCTGTTATGCTACTTTGAATACATTATCCCCCCCACTTTGTAAAGCCACACATTTTAAATGTAAAGGAATGGGTTCTCATCTCTGCACTACAGAGCTTATTCAGGGAACTCAGGACTGGGGAGCCCCTGCAACCAGGGTGCTTGGCTACTCTTTGGCTTGTGCATTTTTGTGGGATGAGCTTTTGTTAAGGAATTGTTCTCTAGCAAAAGAAAAGTTAGAATGCCCTTAATTTCGATCACTTTGGTTTACACATATGGACTGATGTAAATCTCTTGCTTCATTTATATAAACCAAAGTCTTAGGAGAACCCACAATAAAGTTATGAGAGAAAGGGAACAGCGGTAGCTACCTCCAACTTCTCAGCCTCTCTGGGCACAACTGGACTCCAGGAGTATGCATTCTATGTGTGACCTGTATCCAGAAATTCATTCTCTCTATTTTTCCCCAGACTCTCAAGTTACATCTTTTTATTTTGTTGAGTTGGGGGTCTCTCTCTGTCTCCCAGGATGAAGCATTGTGGCATGATCACAGCTCACCCCAGCCTCAACTTCCTGGGCTCAGGTGATCCTTTTGCCTCAGCCTCCCGTGTAGCTGGGACTACAGGTGCATGTCACCACACCCAGTTAATGTTTTTATTTTTTTGTAGAGATGAGGTCTTTTCTGGTGCTGCTTCTATGTGACTGCATCATGACTTAATGTCACACTATTATTGGGGAAAAAAATCAATGGCTTTCGCCATGTATCTTATTTCAGGAGAACTATATAAAAGCTTGACAAAAAAATAATTTAAAAACAACTGGACAACCCTTGAGAGATGGCTCGATATAATATTCTTTCTGTTGTCTCTTGTTCTATTAAAGGATTAGGCTCTGTTCTAAAACCAGAGTAATATTTTCCAGTTCATAGCTTCAACGTATTTAATACATGATATTCTTGTAATAAGAGTATCTTTATCTTAAATAACCTAGTATTCTTATAGGCTCCACCTTAAACCTGGATGAATACTTTACTCTGAATTTTTAAATGAAATTTTGATCTGAAGGTTGCCACAAATTAAGCTCATTACAATCATGGCTGTAGGACAAGGCAGGGCTTAAAGAGTTCTTCTGCTCTGTGTGAACTTGAAAGAGTTATATAATTTTTATGTCTTATTTTCTGGTCTATATTATGGATATGATAGATTCTTTGTAACGCTAAGAATTATGTAAAATGGGTGTGAACAAAACCAGTTACTTTTTGTTTATACTTTATCTCATGAAAACAGCTATATGAGTTTTTGCCAGATTTGAGGGGAATGTCCAAAATGGTTTTATTAAAATTTGGGCCAAATGGCATATATGAAATTAACACAGTGAGGGCTGAAGGAACACCTAAAGTGAGTCGACATTTTTCAAAGTAGCTCAGAGAGGAAGAGAGTAAAGTCACATGCCCATTGGTCATGTAGTAGAGATGCAGTAGAGGTTTTCAGCTGCGCTTTGGAGCTAATCAGCCCGAGGACAGACACTGAAAGGTAGTGCTGGTTTAGAATCTCATAGCAGAATGTCTATGTACCTTGGGTCAGAATTTCTGTAGCAGTTAGAATTTACTTATCAGTTATTAGTAATTCTTGCCAACACGATATGGGCTTGCTAGAAACCTATGTAGAATATTTAGCATAGAACTTCGCACATAAGTAGCTCCTTGGTGAACCTTCTCAATTCTACCCCTCACCAACCCTACCATCTATCCCCCTCCAAGAGCACAGAGGCAAGTCATTATTCTGTTTCGTTGTGTGTGGATCATACTTATTCTCAGTGACGCAGTCATTTCTATGAAGGTAAACCAGTCCAACAGCAATGATTGCCTAATGTTTCAGAGTCACTAGCATATTTTTGGGGGAAGAAGAAATTACTCTTCGGGGAACCAGTATCTTCTTCTTACAAATATCAGAATGTTGAACTTTATTTTGGTTTGCCTGGTTGCCCCTAAAATTGGTAGTTGTACAATGGAACTTTGGTCCATGATAAACAGTATGTTTCTGGGATTGAAATATTTTTTATTTGGACAGCCCCAAAATTAAATAACACTTTTCTTTTGGGAGATAATTATAGGATAATTGATACTTTATACCTAAATATTTTCTATACTAAGGAGATATAGTAGTTTTTTAAAAAAAATCTTCTCAGGTTTAAGTTTTGTTTTTGATTTTGATGTAGAAACATAAAAAAAAAATCAGTCAACTTAGGAAAATTACACCTTATAAGACCAGGTATGAAAAACATTTATGTGCCATTTGTCTTAGATTTTTAACTTAAAGTATTTTTACCCTTGGAAATCCTGAGGGGACACTTAAAAACTGTGAGCACCTTTAGTCGTGTCTGCCTGATCTGCTGAACATTTGTGTTTTCTATTCTTGTAAGGAATATCATGACCACTTAGGAGGTCTGAAACTTTGAATCTGCCATGGAGAAAACCTCATATTCCTGCATTTGGTCCATAGAGGAGGCAATTTCTGCCAACTCCAGCATGACAAGGAATGTTCGCACCAAAAGGCCAATAGCACCTTCCTTGAAAAACACCAAGGGTCTCAAAGGGCTGAGGATGGCTCCTTCAGCCCACATGGCACCTCTCAGGAGGAGGATGGTTATTGGTAGCATAGCAAGGCCCCTCATAATTCTCTTTGTTGAATACCTGTTCTGTCCTTAGTCCACCTGACCAGGACCTCTGCATAGAACAGAACTCACTGATCTAAGACATGTTGTCCAATCAAGCCCTTACAGAAGCCTGTAATATAGACTGATGGGCACTTTCTTGTCTGTTGATGAAACAGATCTTTTGTTCTCATTTAGTTGTTGATGCCCATATCTCCTCACTATCAGTCAGAGTCAAGAAGAAGAGGGCTCAGTGGTGGGATTTACTTCTATTTCTAATTTTAAAGAACACCAAAACTACTTCTAAGATTACCATTTTAAATTCTTTTTCTTTTTGTTAGAAACCCAAATCTAAAAGCAAAGACTATCAATCTCCCATTTGAAGATCAAAATTTGGTCTTCTTTGAAGTTACCAAAGGCTGTTTATATGAAAACCATTTTGTTTGATGAACTCAGTCTATCTCAACACAAAAAGAAGGATGACAAGACAATCCTTTTAAATGCTTCTTTTATTTCATTGGTTGTACATTGGGTGAGTGAACTGAATATTACAACCAAAACATAGTATTGATACAAATTAGACTCCTGTTTACACTGTAAGGTAATGAATGAGGGAATTCTTTAAGTGTTACAGAAAGGTTTAGTAGAAATGTTACCAGTGGTATATGGCTGAAAGAATATTTCAGTGAAGTGCTGTTATATCCTGAAAACTAAGAGTGAAATGTAGTTCCCATACAAGTGGAGAGTTAGTCTCTTTACTACAGTATTTGTTGAATTGATATCTTCATGTCTTGGATATTGGTGATTTTGTTTTTGTAATTAAACAAAGCATTTAAGATTTATTCATCATAGTCAGACTTCTGAATATAAACAAACTTTTGGCAAATAATATTTATACAGAAAAATAGTTTTAGATCCTCTCAAATCCCAGAATTATTCTATAAAATTACATTATAAATAAATAAAAAGCAAAATCTGTTGTACATATATTTGTACATCTATGTATCTGCCTTGCCTCCTCCTTATTGTAAATGGCATATTCATGACTCTTTGCATATTATAATCACGATTCTGGAAAATGGATATCATAGCAAAAAATACAGTCTTCTATATTGGCTTGGGGATACAGGTGATGTTTTTGATGATCCATTATTAAAGGGCTGAAAATAGTTGTGTGCTAATAATTTTTAAAATCAGGAAACAAAAGGAAAAAAAAGAAAGACAATATTACAAAAATTAGTCTACAAAAATAGTTCAGTGATTCCCATAATTTACCTTTTAGTAATGTATACTATGTTTTCCATGAGTTTAAATGGATTAACAAAGAAAAAAGAAAAAAAGATAACAAGTTTGAATGTTGTAGGCAAGTTGTAGCATAACTACATTGTTATAGTGAGAAAATTACAAATATCAATAATACATAAAGATGAGACTACCAAAGTAATACAAGTTAGATACAATACTTTTCCACAAATTAAAACAAATGCAACAATACAAGCACTATGTAAGATTACACTTAGAATGTGATTTTCTTTTAGATAGGGTTATCAGATCTACGATAAATAGATAGTAATTAGACTTTGACCAACATGAATTAAAATGCAGATTTCTTTTTTCTCAAACAAATAATGACATGGTTGGTGCATCTAATTTTCAGAACAGGCGATGATGCCAAAATTTAAAATATCTTACATTCAATCTCAAAAGTCAAAATACTTCAATCACTAATATGTTCACAAAGAAAATGGATGTTTTAAACAATTACACATAATATTTATTTATAACAGCTGTTTTGTTTTTTAAACAATAATTTAAAAACTATGTAGGTACTGTATAGGCTATGTGCAACATATAAAATGTGAAATATGAAATATTTGGTACGATAGTGCTTAAAATAAACTTTAAAACAAACTTTCTGAACAAAATTTAATTGTATCGCTATTACCTTGAAGATCAACCAAGTATTTAAAAAAGTAAACAACATTAAAATATGTTTCATCCATATATAGTATATATATGCATGTGTATATATAATATGTATGTACTTGTATTAAAGTTTTTTATACTTTTGAGACATAAAATATGCTTTAAGGTGAAAGAATTAAAAGAACTATTTTTTTTCCATGCTATAGTCAGTTACAACCCTTTAATCCAACTTTTGAAATGCAAAACAGTAATGGATTTTTTTAAAAAGTGAAACTATCTACTTTTTTGTTTACATAGTAATTTAGATTAAAGTCACAGTCAAATTTGCAGTGACTAAACTCAAACTTACTTAAATTAGAATATTATACAGATCTCCTCACCTACAGCTTCCTTGTTTGACTAGGTTTTTAGTTAAGAAGAGTTATTCTGTAACAGGCAACCGGATGGTGAGTTTGAAAGACTAATCCCTTAGATTAGACTGTTGGCATGGGCCTCTCATTCTTGTCAAGCTGGATGAAGTCTGGCAAAATCTAGGCACTTCTACAAAGTCTCTCTTATAAAACAACTTTAAAAATATACTTGTAAAATAATACCTTCAAGACTTTGTTTGGTGGGGTATGAAGCTCATACCGTGCAAAGTTTCTTTTTCAATCTATTTAATGTTATTCTAGAATCACATGATTCAACGTGGCATCTCCAGGCAAACCAAACACCACACTTTGATGTGTCCCCAGTACTTGTGCTTGAATTTCCATTCAGATTTTAGACCTGCAGGACAGGTATCGGTTTTACTTCACTTCTTGTCTTTGCTGCAGCATTCATATTGTCAAGAAGTGAAACATACCCTTTGATCCAGTGGGTAAATGAAATGACAGACATCGAAGTTAGAATTGAACCTGTCCTTGGAATAGGTTTTAACTACTGCTAATTGCTTATTGCTAAATTTGAAATATTCTGAGTCCAAATGAGTAAATTGGGTGGACTTTCTGCATCAGCTATAGTTATGGAGATAAGACAATATTCCTAGGACAGAAACTATGTTTAGAAACCCTTTAAAAGTAAACTTGATCCTTTATGTCTTTAAACATCACAGCTGGTCTCAGGTAGTTAACTATCTTAGGTTGGAATATACTAAGCATACCATATTTAATACTCATATATGATATAGCAGCACTAGCTTCTTAGAGTTGTGGTCTGTCCAGAGAACTAAATCTTTATTTAGCATGCAGTTTGTGGCAATTCTATTGAGGAGGAAACAGGATAGTATGTACAGTAACAATGTTTAGTTATTCTCAATGCAGATTCTTGGCATTCCATTCCGTTTCTGCTGATTATTTCAGAATTATCTGTTAAAGAAAGACAAGTATGATTTAGACATTCTTCCATGAGGGACAATAATGAGTTTAAGTTTTACTCTTTGAAAACAGACATTTGAAAATAAGAATTTTCTGCAATTTCTCATAATGTTGATGCAATTATAATTTTGCAAATCCCTGCACTTTATGCTGAAGAATTTTACACTTAATCACATCTCCTGTGTGGCCACTATAAAGCAGGATGATTCAAATGTGTAGTATTTCCCCTAAAATTGTGATGGCATGTATGCAAGCATGTGGCATGTTCAGACCCCGATCTCTTTTTAAACTTTTTGCTTTATATTTCTTTATTATACGTTCATATTACTGTACAATTAATATTTGCTACAGTGATCAGAAAGTCTAAGTAGATGATCTGTTTGTACTTGAAAATTATTTACAAGGTTTAAATATAAATATTTATAATAAATCAGATTTCATTTCTCTATTCACTCACATTTATCATTCAAAAATGTTTTCCCACCAAAGTAACTTTGTTCTCAAGATATAACAACAATCAGTTTCAAGTTCAGGCTATGCTTACATATCACATATTAAAGAGAAAAAGGAATAATCTAATAAAGCAATTAAAACTCCCTAATAAACACCAAAGCACAGTTAAAGCACAGATAAAGCTAAACTACGAAATGCAAACTGTGGTCCCTAGAGTTTGAGTTTCATGTTCATTTCCAGTTCTGTACCTCTGCAAAAGAGAGGGAGTTTGACCTCTGTGGTTTGGCCCAGTAAAAGTTAGCCTTAAAAGTCATGCTTTTAACACATTCTAACAACAACATCTATTCTTTGTGTAATGCTTTGACTAAACTTTGTGTAGCCAACAAACAAAACGTCTATTTATTAAACAGCCAAAAGTCTTTGTTTAGGAAAGAAGTGGTAAAAATACTTTGTGGTGAGGGTTAGCTAACATACTCCTGCATGCTGGGATTCAATTCCCAATAAAAGCTTCATTTCTACAAGCATAATTTATCACCCTATTATGTTAGAATTTGTACATGTGGATATTTTCCCCTTTAATGAATGCACCTGTAGTGTATGTGTAACAGTGTTAGTACACACAAATATTATTTCTCCCATAAAATAAATATGAATATTCTTCATTTTACTGAAACATACAGATGTGCTTAGAATTGACAAAAACAGAGGAAATGATTCATTTACATTAAATATTTATACTAAATGGAAACTCAAAATTTGAGATAAGATCATTCTTTGCTTAAAAAAAACCCCTAAGGATTTAAAATTACTTGGGAAAAATAGAATTCCTTGTCTTGTGTACTAATAGACATAAAAAATTAATAAGAAATAGTTTTATATGTAAATATTATAGTATTTAGTATTTGAATACTATTATCATAGTATCTTTGAGTAGCATCATTGCAAATAGGTAATATTCAAATTCTCCAGATGCTCAGTTTAGAACTTCATTTTTAGATTTAGATATTTGAATATTAAAGTACATTTACATTTTTTCTATTTTTTACCCTTTAGCTTAAATGCTATCTGTACATTTTTCTATTCAATGCTATCTGTACATTTTTTCTATTTTTCACCCTTTAGCTTCAATGCTATCTGTAAAATAAGAATGTGTCCAAGGACATCAAATCCTATCTTGTCTTTTTTTTCCCTTAACCTCAGCAAAAATCTCTCTAAAATATTTCTGGGAAAAAAAATCTTGCAGTTTCTTAAATTGATATACAATAATACATCTTTCAGAATATATTTACATCCTTGCTTATTAGCTGAAATTAAAATGCCACATAGAATGAAATTCCAAAACACCTGGAAAAAAGTATTCTACAGATAGCACAGCAATGGGCAAATTAGAATTTGAATTCGTTACAGTAATGCTTTGAACTTATTTGACAGAGACATAAGTGACCACTGAGGTTTAACTGGACTGTAAATCAGTCTTGAAGCTAACTGAAAGCATTAACTAGACTCAGCCAGACTGCTTTCCCCCTCTACCTGAGTCTACCCATGAGCCATTCTGCAGATAAAGACATAAATACAAATGAGCTCTGGTACTGTTGAACTCTCAGCTATGCCTGCTATCTGGTATCAAGGCCAGAACACTCTGGTCTTTGTCTTTGGTTGTCTTGTGGACTGTCTACTTGCTATAAAAGATGAACTGTACTCTTAGTATCCATGAACTTTAGGCAATTTGATCTTAGAAGGTAGAAAAGCTTTGGTCATTTCTCCTCATAAGTTCCATTTTTTGTTGGCAGTATTTTTCTTGGTAATATCTTTTGATTATTGAATATTTTTCCTGAGAAATAGAGCTTGCTGGTACAGTCTGAAATTACTATACTATGGGGTGAACTACACCCTGGAAATACAGACAGAATGGGAATCCAGAGGAAGGACATCTACTGAGGGAGGGCCCCTCATTGACCTAGGGTCTATCTGATAGCAGCTTCTGATGTCAGGAGGCCCATGCTGCCAGGTCCAAATGCCCTGGGGGAGGGGAGGACAGAGCCAGCTGGGAGACCACCCACAGGACAGAAGGGAAGAGGAGGGTGTGTGTGTGTGTGTGTGTGTACGTGTGGAGGCTTGGGAGAAGTTGCTTTCAGGGAAAGAGGCACCACCTGCCTAGTTTTTAATGTGGTTTTTCTTTGGTCAGACTATATTTTAAATTAAATTAAACATTCACAATTTAAAATGAGATGAATCGAACACTTTATGTGTTTTCTTGTTGCCTCTTTTCAGAAACTTTCTTCCAGACCAATGAGATACATGAAAATCTTTTCAATCTTTATTGTAGTTGTTGTGGCCAGGAGGATCAAAACCTTCAGAAGGTGCCTGATGGTTTATTGTAGGCACAAAACACAGCTTCTAAAAATAACAGTCTTATATGTGGCCCCGGCACATGAACTACAAATCTGATATGAACTAACTCTAACTTTGAATTTTCCATTTTAAAAAATGATGAATTAAAACACAGTTCACCACAGTGAGCTCAACAGACCAACTGTTAGGGGCTTCTTTCCTGCCATGCATCTTATCAAAGTTGAAGCTGATACCCAAAGTTCCATACTCAACCCCCAAGGCACTGCATCCATGCTTTTAAAAAAAAAAGGTAGGGGAAAGACTTAAAAGACTTTAAAAGACTTAATGGGTCTTCCAGCATATGAATTAAGTCAGAGAAATAGCTACTACACTGAATGTCCTAAAAGTCCCCTCTCTGAAGCATCCTTATTTTTTTATTTGTTTGTTTTTCTTATTTTAAATTGTGATAAATACTCCCTTGATTTTCAGCAGGCTCTTAGAATTCATGAGCTTGAGCCTTACGAGCTAGGTCAGTATTGGAGCCATATTTTGCCAACATGGAAAAGACAGGATGTACTGTTTTATCTGGCTTACACAATGTACAAAGTGCTTGCACCAAGTCCCGTGAGCTTAGAGATGGCATCTCACTCTGCCCTCTTGTGCAGGCATCTCCTCAGGGCGTGTGGACAGTCTGAGATGGGGCCAGTGGTTCCAAAGAGCATGTTTAGTATCTGAATACTATTATCATAGTATCTTTGAGTACCATCATTGCAAAAAAGTAATATTCAAATTCTCCAGATGCTCAGTTTAGAACTTCATTTTTAGATTTAGATATTTGATTATCAAAATATATTTCTTTTCAATTTTTTACCCTTTAGCTTCAATGCTATCTGTAAATTTTTCAAATAAGAATATGTTGAAGGACATCAAATCCTGTCTTTTTTTTTTTCTTTCTTTTTCTTAACCTCAGCAAAAATCTCTCTAAAATAGTTCTGTGAAAAAAATCTTGCAGTTTCTTAAATTGATATATAATAATACATATTTCAGAATATATTTACAATCTTGCTTATTAGCTGAAATTAAAATGCCATATAGAATGAAATTCCTAAACACCTGGAAAAAAAGTATTCTACAGGTAGCACAGCAATGGGCAAATTAGAATGGGTGAATTTGAATTAGTTACAGCAATGCTTTGAACTTGTATTTGACAGAGACATAAGTGACCACTGAGGTTTAACTGGACTGTAAATCGGTCTTGAAGCTAACTGAAAGCATTAACTAGACTCAGCCAGACTGCTGTCCCCCTCTCCCTGAGTCTACCCATGAGCCATTCTGCAGATAAAGACATAAATACAAATGAGCTCTGGCACTACTGAACTCCCAGCTATGCCTGCTACCTGGCATTGAGGTAGCAGCTGAGGAGGGTACTCAAGAGAAGCCCTGCAAGTTTGGGAATCAGGGAAAGGTGAGGCCATGGGGTGGTATTTATAGCAAACGGAGCGTGGAATTCTAGAGGAGAGACAGTAGGGACTGTCTGGCAGAGCCAGATCGGTAGGAATTGCTGGGAGACTTGGGAGGCTACTGGCCTCATCTGGGCATCCTTTCCTGGGTGGCCAACCACATCCTGCCCCCAGCTTCCTCCAGTTAGATGCTACAAATGCATCTGCTTACAGCAACGGAATACTCTACCCAACCACAGTGCTATCATTTCAGCTTCTGAGAAACCTTGGCAAGCTAGGAAGATAGGAGAGAAATCAGGTATAGCTAACTAGACATATTTCTATTTGTCCTTCTGATAGACTACTTAGCTTCAACTAAGTAGTATTTTTTGTAACAGAGAGCCATGACAGGATAAGGAAGCTAATCGTTAAATAATGATTCTAGCCAATCTAATATGGTAAATCAAAATTCTGAACTGAAAGCATTATTTTTAATTCCTTTTTCCACTAAAAGGAGAACAGACCAAAAAAAAAAAAAAAAGAGAGAGAGAGAGAGAGAGAGAGAGAGAATAGCTGATGCCCACAAAATCTGTGATTCTATTTTTAAAACAAAGACACACTCTATCTCAAACCATGGATGCTTTCATAAATCTTTAGAGGCCTCCTCTAGTTGGAACAAGAGGAGCTGTAATGCAAAAATCTCAGTTGGCTATACTAGATCTGCTTACGATAAGGAAAGGAAATTATACTAAGTGAATTAAATTATTT